GTTGGACTCCCACAGACTCCGCAGAAGTTTGATGCAGCTTGGGTGATTGTAGATAGGCTGACCAAGTCGGCTCATTTCCTTCCTGTGGTGACTACCTATTCTTCTGAGCAGCTGGCTCGAGTTTATATCCGTGAGATTGTCAGACTTCATGGCGTGCCGGTATCCATCATCTCTGATCGGGGCATGCAGTTTACATCACGGTTCTGGAGAGCCGTACAACATGAGTTGGTACTCGGGTGGAGTTGAGCACAGCATTTCACCCTCAGACGGACGGGCAGTCCGAATGCACTATTCAGATTCTTGAGGATATGCTCCACGCGTGTGTGATGGAGTTTGGAGGTTCTTGGGATCAGTTCTTGCCACTTGTGGAGTTTGCCTACAATAACAGTTACTAGTCCAGCATTCATATGGCACCGTATGAGGCTCTGTATGGTAGGCGGTGTCGGTCCCCAGTGGGTTGGTTCGAGCAGGGCAAGGCTAGATTATTGGGCACAGACTTGGTTCATGACACTTTAGAGAAGGTTAAGGTGATTTAGGATAGACTTCTCACAGCCCAGTCCAGACAGAAGAGTTATGAAGACCGGAAGGTTCGCGATGTTTCATTTATGGTTGGAGAGCGGGTCATGCTTCGGGTTTCGCCTATGAAGGGCGTTATGATATTCGAGAAGAGGGGCAAGTTGAGCCCAAGGTTTATTGGTCTCTTTGAGGTGTTGCGGCGTGTTGGGGAGGTTGCTTATGAGCTTGACTTACCTCTCACCTTTGCACGAGTTCATCCAGTATTTCATGTTTCGATGCTCCGGAGGTATCACGGTGATCCGTCTCACGTGTTGGATTGTAGCTCAGTCTAGTTGGACAAAGATCTATCTTATGTTGAGGAGCCAGTGGCTATATTGGCGGGCAGGTTCGAAAGCTGAGGTCAAAGAACATTGCATCAGTGAAGGTTCAGTGGCGGGGTCAGCCGGTCGAGGAGGCGACTTGGGAGACCGAGCAAGATATGCGCAGCCGTTATCCACACCTTTTCACCACTTCAGGTATGTCTCTATGCTGGTTCGAAGATGAGCGAATGTTTTAAGAGGGGGAGGATGTAACAATGATATAACGACCCGGCCAGTCATTTTGAGAATTAACGCCCTGATCCCCTATTAATTGCTTCCCCCATATCTTTTTCTGCTATTGTGACCTGCCGGGATGATTCGTTTTGAGTTTCAGAGTGTTTTGGGACACTTAATCTCTAATGAGAGCTTAAGTCTTAGAATTTAGACCGTAGTTGGAACAGTATGAAGAAGGCTCCGGAATAGAGTTCCATCGATTTTGTTAGCTCCGTTGGGTGATTTTGGGCTTAGGGCGTGTTCGGATTGGTGTTTTGGATTGCGAAAGTTGAATTTTTGGAGTTTTGGGCCAGTAGTGGAAATTTTGATATCGGGGACGGAATCCAATTCCGTAAGTTGGAATAGTTCTGTAGTGTTGAATATGACTTGTGTGCAAACTTTGGGGTCAATCAGATGTGGTTTGATAGGTTTCGGCATCGGTTGTGGAAATTTGAAGTTTCAAGTTTATTAAGTTTGGATTGGAGGGTGATTTTTGTTTTGAGCATTTTTTGAGGTATTTTGAGGGCTCGACTAAGTTCGTATGATGTTTTAGGATTGGTTGGTATGTTTGGTTTAGGTCCCGGGGGCCTCGGGTGAGTTTCGGGTGCTTAACGGATTGGTTTGAGACTTATGCAAATGGCTGAAGTGTGTTGTATCTGGTGTTTTCGCACCTGCGCATTTTGGCCGCAAGTGCGAGCTGCAGAAGCGACTAAGGAGCCGCAGAAATGGAATTGGGCTTGCCCAGTTGGGTCCGCAGATGCGGTGAGGAGCCCACAGAAGCGAAGCACAAAAGCGGTTGAGGGACCGCAGGAGCGCGTCACAGGTGCGGCCCAGTGCTCGTAGATGCGGTCCCAGCCCACTTAAGTGATTTCTGCACCTGCGATGGATTTTCCGCAAGTGCGGCATCGCAGGTGCGAAGTAGGGGCCCGCAGGTACGGTTTGTCTGGCAGAAAAAGAGAAGATTCGAGGTTTGGTGTTCATTCCATAAAATTCAATTTTGAGCTTGGAGGAAGGCAATTTTTCGAGAGCTTTTCAGAGGAAATCATTGGGTAACAATTCCTAATCCTATTTTGATCATATTTCATTAATCCATAGTTGTTTTCTTCATTTAATCAAGGATTTTGAGTGAGAAAGTTGGGAAAATGGGGGGAAAGTTCCCCAATTGAACTTTTGAGTTTTGAGTAGGATTTTGACATCGGATTTGGATAATTTTGGTACGAGTGAACTCGTGAATGAATGGTGTTCATAATTTGTGACATTTACCCGATTCCGAGACGTGGGCCCGGGGAGGATTTTTGGGCGTTTTTCTATTTCTTGCCATAGCTTTGATTTCATTAGCTAAATTAGTTGCTTGTAGCTATATTTACGTTATGTAATTGGTTTGATTAGATTTGGGCCACTCGGAGTTGGATACTCGTGGCAAGAGCGTGATTTCGGATTGATTTGAGCTTGGTTCGAGGTAAGTGGCTTTCCTAACTTTGTGTGGGGGAACTTCCCTTAGGATTTGGTACTGTTTGATATATGAGCGTCGCGTACGTAAGGTGACGAGTGCGTACACGGGCTATTTGTTGAAAAACCCCATTTTCATTAAGCAAATATCTGTTTTTCCTTTAATTGAACAACACTAGTATATGCAACTATCCTGTTTAGCTTAGGAAAGCATGCCTATGTGCCTTAACTGTCTTTACTGCCTTAATTGCCTATCTGAACTCTATGCAGCATGTTTAGTGAAAATTATCTGTCTTCTTTGATATGAACTTAGTCTAAACTGTAGAATTCCTTGTTGAAACTGTTGTTTATGTTGATTGAGTTGCATATATACTTTAGGTCTACGGAACGGTATTTCGGGAGATCCCCTGCACGTTTATGTTTGGGACTACAGGATGGTATCCCGGTAGATCCCCCCTGTACTGTATATTTACTTTGGGACCACGGAACAGTATTCCGGGAGATTCCCATGCACATTTACGTTTGAGACTACGGGACAGTATCCCGGGAGATCCCCTGCACATTTATGTTTGGGACTACGAGACGGTATCCCGAGAGATCCCCTATTGTTATCTCTGTATACTGAGCTGTTGTTTTTCTGTGATTTCATTCTCGTTAAAGTTTTGTATCTATCTTTACTGTGATATTTCATTCTTAATCATTTTGTATATATATATACCAGTAGGGCCTGACCCAATCTCGACCGAGGTTAGGCTTTGCATTTACTGGGTACCGCTGTGGTGTACTCATGCCCTTTCTTGCACATGTTTTATGTGTGCAAATCCAGGTACCTCTTTCCAGCCACATTTCCAGTGAGACGGGACGAATGTAGAGACTTCGAGGTATATCTGCCGCGTCCGCAGACCTAGGAGTCCCTATCTACTCTTACTTAAATTAAAGACTTCTTGTATTTTCTTCTTGTATTAGAATCTGGAGTATAGGAGTACTATGTCTTTTTCTTTAGCTTGTGACTTATGACATTCTGGGTTCTCTACTCGTCCGGCTGTAGGTCATTTCCGTTGGTATCAGTCGTATAGTGATAGAACATAAGGGTCCACCAAACTCTGTAGAGAACCAGGTTCTCTATCAGATTCAATCAGTACACACACAGCAGCAGTATTTAAATGGCAAGAAGAATTTTACGTGGAAAATGTCCGGCTCAATGGGATTAAAAACCACGACCTACCCTTGTAGGATTTAAACTTCACTACTGAGCAACTTTTAGATTACAACCTATGTAACCTAGGAATTAACCTCTTAATCCCTCATTAACTTATAACACACCTATTACAAGCCACTTTGTAATAACTCTATTACAAAGAATTTACAACATGACTAACTCTAGCCAAGACTCAAACACACTGGTTTAAGGTTTACAAAGGGGTTCCTATATAATGCTTCTAAACAAGCTAGATAGGAATTACAATTGAAGAACTATTACAAAGTTACAACTCAACTAAGGACATACAATGACTCGATGTGGGAACTGGTCCGTAGTTGCTTTGTTCTTTGTTCTTGAAGCGCTTGAAACTTGATTGTTGAATGGTCACGTGAGTGAGCTTGAGTGAAATCTCTAAGTGTTCAAGTAAATGTATTTTACCTCCTTTGATTGTATATATACATGTGTGACATCACTTACAATGATGTAAGCAAGGTAGGTAAAAAGTCTTCCTTGGAAAGTTGACTGCTACACTGTTCCTGCACTGTAGCGTCTGCAGGCAGCAACTATCCAGCTGGAGAGTTGACTTCACACAGTCTCCTCGGGAACTAGTAGGGACCTGTTCCCTCAGCTGTTCCTTCCACTCTGAAGAGTTGAATCATGTCACATGCTGAATCCCAACCTGGAACCTTGTGATCTTAAGGTCTTGTAAATGTGTAGCAGGTTCCTTATCTAGTTCTGGATAGTAAGTTTGTTAGATCATCAAAACATAAAGCAAAGTACTTCTGACAAAGTACTTGTAACCTATCAATTTCCCCCTTTTTGATGATGATAAACTCATAATTGAAAAACCCAGAAAGAACCACATAGAACCAGACTGTGAACCAAAAAGACCTTAAGTTTTCCCCTTGAATCTCTACATTCCCCCTTCATCAGTGCAATTATTTTCCCCCCTTTTGGCATCATAAAAAGATCAGAAATAGGTAATTATGCAAGAAGGAAGTCTAGTTTTAAGTTAACTCATGCGACTTATGTGCACATGGTCATGATTAAGAACAGAGCATAAAAGCACAGCATAAACAGCAACAAGGGAAAAGCTTGCATTAACATATTTTGGATTTTACAGCAAGAGCAGAGTCAATGTTACTTCCACATCCACACAGTAGAACAATTAACAAAAATACCACAAGTTATCATCATAAAAACTGACACGAAGAGACAGGAGCACAAGCCGGGTTACAGAATGGACACTGAGGGGACAGACTTTAAGAAGCACGAGGAGGAGATGGTTTGGAGGTAAAGGAAATTGTTTGGAGGACTAAATCCATGCGAGCATTTGCTGATATTTTCTCATTGAGCAGTCTTTCTTTCAGGTCCTCCACTTGTTTCCTGAGCTCAGCGTTTTCTTTCGTCAGGCGAGCAGCCTCTTCGCTTTGCGAGCAGGTGGAACCAGGTGCCTCTTGCAGCTGACTTATCTGGGTCTCAAGGATAGCATTCCTTGCTTTCAATTGTCGTATCTCAGTAGTAGCATTGTTTTGAGAATTTATTAACTGAGAAATGGTAGAAGTGCTTACAACCCCTCCAAATTTTTCTATACACTTACATTCTTCAAGAGTGCTTTTCGAAAAAGTTTGCTTCTTGGCACCCATTTTAACTGGTCCGAGAGGAACCGTGAAGTGCTCAAATACCTTGGTAAGAAGGAACCCATATGGCATCCCATGATCACCATCTTTAAAGCCTGCCACTTTATTCATGTGGTCCATCATGATCCCAGGCAGATTGATGGTAGTGAGGTCGTCCAGTGCTTCCATGAGGAATAGGTCTGAACGAGAGGTGATGGATCTGCGTTCAGCTCGAGGCAGCAACACTTTGTTTACCATCTCAAATAGCAGTTGGTAAACAGGAAGGAGGGCCTTCTTCTGCACTCGTTCCCCCTCCTGAAATGCTCTATCCTTCAAGATTGCATTTCTGAAGTTCTGAGTACAAGCTCCCTGAATACTAAACAGCCCTTTAGTGGGCACACCAAGAATAGATCCCAGCAAGGCAGAGTCTATTACCATATCAACCCCATTCACCAATGCACAAATATGACCATCCTCAACCGTGTACAAGTCGGCATAAAAGCTTTGAACTTCCTCCTCATATACCCTAGAAGCGTTGCTTGTGAACAAGTGTGTCCATTGTTGGAAATCATAGATCTCAACTAACTGTCTCATGCCAGCCTCCTCCAAGACATCAGAGGCAAATGTGTGCCCCCATAGCACCTTTTGAGTTCTCAATCTTTCTTTCCTAGCACTTCTCGGATTATCAGCTTTGGCCTTCTTTGAGGAACCAGGTTCCTCATCAGTATCAACCTTTCTATTAGCAGTCTTGCGAACACCTTTCTCCTTTTTATCAGACTTCATAGATTTTTCACCTGACTCTTTCTCCATATTCTTAGTAGCAACAGCATCAATAGACCTAGTCAGATGTTTAGTATACATAGAAGATCCTACTATTGTTTTGAGAAGACCATGTTTTTGTGATAACTTCCTAGTCTATATACTAGGTTCCTTCGCTTCTTCTTCATCCACACTCACAACCGGCACTATCTTCTCATTTACTACTTTGCCATCTTTCACCAATTGTCTTCTCCTTAACTTAGTTTGACTGTTCTTAAGAGCAGACTTAAGAGCCTTCTTCTTTTGCAACCTTGTTGTGGGTCGCTTAGGAGTGGGCTCTCCACCAACAGCTACTCTACGCCTAGGCAGACTGGAAATTTGTAAGTCATCAGAATCTTCTTCATTATCCTCTTTTTGATTTTCAGACACAGGGCTTGTCTCAGGCGTAATGACACTTAGAGGCTCAACATCTAAATGGGGAGAGGGAGCAGGGTCAGTACTGACCTGGGGTTCCTGAGTAAGACCAGAGTTGGATCCTCCGAAGGCGGATCAGGTCCTCCAGCAGGTTTCCTAGTAGCACCTTCCTGTACTGAAGGTTCAACAGGCACAAGCTCATTATCCTCTCCAACAGGCTCAGATTCTTCCCCCGAGTCTTAAGACCATCCTCACTTCCTCCGACAAAAACCCCTTCATTGGCGATGAACAACATATTTTCGATTGCTTCCTTTTCTTGCAAATTCAATAGAAACTCAGGAGAAGTAGGAGAGGTACCTCTGGACGGGGGTTCAGGAGCAGTCTTTGTTGACTCAATGATTTTATTTCCCTCAACCTGGTCTGCCTTTGACTTTTCTTCTATAGGAGAACTTGAGATTTTTTTGATTTTCCTCATTCTCAACAATATTCGTGTCATCCCTCTTTTCTGGCGAGTTAAGAGAAGAGCCCTGGGAAACACCTCTTGTGAGACTTGATGCTTGGTGACTCTTGTGAGAATAGGAACTCGAATGGGTAGGAGAGGAGACGGAGTGAGGGGGTGACTTTATTCTAGGGTTTTGGTTATAAGTAGTGTGAGGAGGAGATTCTGGCGTTAGTGTTTCGACTGGTGAAGACTCGATAATACTAGAGATCATTTGATCTTCATCCATGGTGGGAAGAAGAGAGAAGATTTAATAAACTGAAGAGAGAAAGAATAGGAAGCAGGTTTGGAAGTGTTGATGTGTGAAGTGTGGTGACGGAGATAGATGTATTTATGATGACAGAGGGATCGGTTAGAAAAAGGGCGACAGGTTTTAAGGAGATAGGTCGATTAATAACTGGTGAGGCGTTTGGGTTCAAAAGACACAAAACTAAAAACTGACATGCTGATGATATGGCACTTGTTTTAATTGTTCAGAATTGTGCATGAGAGAACACAAAAACTACTAACCTGTGTCAGGAGAACCAGGTTCTCCGACTGATCTCTTGTCTGTAAGCTTTGCCCTTTTTACCAGTGTATACAGTTTCAAATGTATTTGCTCTATAATCATCAAGTGTGTCTACCTGTAATGGTATAGATATGAGTTAGACTTTGCCAGAAAACACCTTTTAGCTAAGTTTACCTGAACCTTTCTTTCATAGCCAATCATTGAGGGACCATGTTCTCAATTGGGTTTTATCAACCCCAATGCCAGACGATTTTGCTCGAAGTGTTCTCTTCTCAAGGCTTTGGTAAATATATCTGCAATTTGATCTTCAGTGCTGCAGAATTTCATGTATATAAGCCCTTTCTCAACATTGTCTCTGAGGAAGTGATGGCGTACGTCAATGTGCTTGGTCCTTTTATGTTGAACTGGATTTTTTGCCATGTTGAGTGCACTAGCATTATCACATAAGAGAGCACACAGTCTGAGAATACTCCGAAATCTTCCAATTGTTTCTTGATCCACAGAAGTTGGGCACAGCAAGAGGCAGCTGCTACATATTCACCTTCTGCAGTTGAAAGTGCCACAGAGTTCTGCTTCCTTGTACCCCATGAGATTAAGCAGGAACCCAGGAATGTGCCATTCCAGACGTGCTTTTCCTATCCACCAGATATCCTACATAATCAGCGTCAGCATACCCAATAAGATCAAAGGTGTCTCTTGAGGGATAGTAGAGCACCAGGTCTTGCATTCCCTTGAGATATCTCAGTATTCTCTTGGCAACCTTCAAATGAGATTCCTTTGGATTGGATTGAAACCTTGCATAGAGACCCACGCTAAAAACAATATCCGGTCTGCTTGCAGTAAGATACAAGAGCGACCCTATGATCCCTCTATACATGGTCTGATTTACAGGAGAACCAGGTTCATCCATGTCTAGATGAGTGGCTGTGTCAATAGGCGTGTCAATGACTTTTGATGCTTCCATATCGAACCTTTTCAGCAGCTCCTTGATGTACTTCTGTTGACTTAACAATGTTCCCTTCTTAGATTGCTTCACTAGAAGTCCTAGGAAGAAATTCAGTTCTCCCATCATACTCATCTCGAATTCACTCCCCATGAGTTTTGCAAATTCTTCGCAAAGAGAGTCAGTTGTAGCCTCAAAGATGATGTCATCTACATACACTTGAACAATAAGTAGGTTCCTTCCTCGTTTCTTCAAAAAAAGAGTCTTGTCAATCTTCCCTCTTGCAAAGCCATTTTCTAGAAGGAATTTGGACAACCTTTCATACCAAGCCCTTGGAGCCTATTTTAACCCATATAATGCTTTATCCAGTTTAAACACATGATCAGGGTGCTCGTGACACTCAAAATCAGGAGGCTGCTTGACATAGACTTCTTCTTTTAGATAGCCATTTAGAAATGCACTTTTGACATCCATTTGGAACAGTGTGAACTCCATATGAGATGCAAAGGCAATTAGAATTCTAATGGCTTCCATTCGAGTTATGGGAGAGAATGTTTCATCATAATCAATCCCTTCTTCGTGATTGTAGCCTTGAGCCACAAGCCTTGCCTTATTTCTTGTTGTATTCCCAAATTCATCAAGTTTGTTCCGGAATACCCACATGGTTCCTATAATGGTTCGATCTGCAGGTCGAGGAACCAGGTGTCATACCTTATTCCTTTTAAATTGATGCAGCTCCTCTTGCATGGTTGTGATCCAGTCTGCATCTTTCAACGTTTCCTTTATATTTTTGGGCTCTATCGGGGAAAGAAAGGCTGAGAAGGCAAGTGAGTTTCTTGCTTTCGATCTGGTTTGAACTCCCGAGTCAAGAGGAGTGATTATCTTGTCAAGTGGATGTGAGCTTTTGAACCTCCAATTTGGTGCCTAAGTCTCATTGGTAGAGGAACCAGGTATATCTGACTAGGGTTCTTGGCGTTTCTTGCTTCACGGGGTGGAGTTCCTTGGACTGCATCAACAACTCTGTTTTCAGCTTCAGTTGTTGTAATTTTCCTCTCCAAAGGATGGAGATGTATTTGCATCTTCTAAACCGGATTCCTTGACATGGCTCATCATATCTGCCTTTTCATTTTCCATGTCAATTACTTCACCTGGAACAGTAAGGGCTCTCCATATTGATCAACATGTCTGTCCTTCTCATAGGAGAGGTGAGCTTCATCAAAGATCACATGTACGCTTTCTTCGACACATTGAGTCCTTTGTTGTATACCTTGTAAGCTTTGCTTTGAGATGAGTATCATAGAAAAATTCCTTCATCACTTTTGGTATCGAACTTTCCAAGAGCTTCCTTTCCATTGTTATGAACAAAACATTTACACCCAAATGTTCTTAGATGTGTCAGCTTGGGCTTCCTTCCATTCAACAGTTCATATGGAGTTTTGTTCAGAAGGGACCTGATCATGCACTTGTTCACCAAGTAGCACGCAGTATTGACAGCTTCTGCCTAGAAATACTTTGCTATCCCACTGTCAATTAGCAGGGTTCTAGCCATGCCTTCAAGAGTTCTATTCTTCCTTTCCACAACACCATTTTGTTGAGGTGTTCTTGGAGCTAAGAAATCGTGAGTGATGCCATTTTTAGTGCAGAACTCATCGAATTTGACATTTTCAAACTCCGTCCCATGATCAGACCTAATGCAGGCTACTTTATTACCCATCTTCACTTGGATTTTCTTGACAAAGGCAAAAAACACCTCAAAGGTTTCATCTTTGGTCCTAAGGAACAAGGTCCAGGTGAATCTGGAGTAGTCATCAACTATCACAAAGATGTACTTCTTTCCTCCTTTGCTTAGCACCCTCATAGGTCCACATAGATCCATGTGAAGGAGATCGAGTAGCCATGCGGTGCTGACTTTCTTTTTGGGCTTGAATGAGGATCTGACTTGCTTCCCTTTTACATATGCGTCACATACTTTGTGATCCTTGAAGCTTGATTTGGGCAGACCATGAATCAGGTCCTTCCTGACTAGTTTGTTCAACAACGTGAAACTTGCATGACCCAACCTCCTGTCCCTTAATTCAACATCATCATCAACAACACTTAGACAGCTTAGATCAACATTCTTTAGAGACTCAAAATCAGCTACATAGATATTCTTGTATCTTTTTGCCACTAGTACCAGTCACCAGGTTTGTGACTGTACAGGTCTTTGACATAAATTCCACCTTATTTCCCTTGTCACAGATTTAGGAAACGCTTAGCAAGCTGTAATTTAACCCATTCATGTAGTATACATTTTCGATTGAGCTAGAGAGAGACTTCCCAATCCTACCAACTCTCAGAATGTATCCATTTCTTGCCATTTCCAAAGGATACACTCCCTCCTTGCAAGGCCTTAAGTGAAAGGAAATTATTTGTACTGCCAGTCATATGCTTTGAGTAGCCACTGTCCATGTACCATTGTAGGCTGCTTCCTTTTACTGTTCCCTACACAAGAAGAGTTAGAAGTTAGCTTTAGAAATCCAAACTAATTTGGGTCCCTTATAATGAGGAAAGGGGTGAATCGGAGATTTTTTGGTCCATGCAGGCATTATGCGTTTTTAAATGAGGGACCAGGTTCTCTACTAGTAGTTACTTTTTTAGCATAGGATTTGTTTTTCTGCTGTGACTGAAATCTGGCCTTACAGTTTTCTTTAAGGTACCCATTGTTACTGCAGTGGGTGCAAAGCCAATTATCAGGA